TCAATCAAGTTATTTTACATTACACATATAAGTAGATCCTCACCACCACATAAGAATGAATATTAGGAAAGAAAATACAGTCAATTTACAAGTAGTGAAATAAAAATATACCTAAGAACATGTTAAGCAATAATAATTATTAATTAATTATTAATAACTTAGAACTATCATTTTCAATTATCTTAGATTTTTAGAAATGATGGTGAAATGTACAAAGAAATATTTATTTGATGCTTGCATTATATTATAGCAGAAGTAGAAACAGCTTTTATGACAATATATTTGAATACTATCCCCATTGATACAGTATTCATTGTCAAACATTCTGTAAGTTTGGCTGTTCACACAGTGTGTATGTGTGTATGTGTGTGTGTGTGTGTGTGTGTGTGTGTGCCTGTACATGCCTTATTGTGTTATGACGTGATATAACAGCTGAAATGAATTGAAAGGGAGATAGCTTTTGTATTAATAAAGAGCTTGTGCTACAAGGAATCTTGACATGCAAAAATAAAAAAACATTCTCTTAACAAAAAAAGTTATTTTACATTTTTAATAATGAAGTAGTAAAATACTAATACTAACATACTAACACAGAAAATAAATAATGTATCCTTTCAGTTTTCAGTTTTCAAATCAAAGTACTTGTTCAAACTCATTCTGCACAGGTGACCTTCTAACTTACTGAGTCACATTAAAAAATCTTGCCATATTTAATGTAGAAAATAAGGATTAATCTTTAGTCTATGTGCTCTTCATTGTGCCCTATTATACATACAGATTAGCTCATGTGTTCACACAGAAGAGATGGTTAAAACAATAGCTCCTAAATCTCGCTGATTAATATCAGGGGTACCTTGTGCAGTAATAGTCCTCATAATTCTCCCTCAATGTTTAGACATACTTTTTGTTCATAAAGAGCCTTTGAATTAGTCTCAGGATTGGAGAAGATAAATTATATTGTGTAGACCTACATGAAAAATTAGACTATAACCTATTAAAATACTTTTCTAAATTACATATTACAGACATTTTCATCTAAAGAACAGAAAAACTATATTCAGAAACTAAAATACTTTAATTTACAGTTAGATTTGGATTTATACTCAAAATCAATTATGTGTCCTTGACAAAACCTTTTATTATATCCTAATGATTTTAGCTACCAAAAAGATATTAAAATATATTTAAAGCCACAGACAGCTTTAACCTTGCAAGAGCATCATTCCGATTTATGTGAGATAAATTTGCAAAGGTCAAATTCACTGTAACAAAAGATATTTTTTGGTTGTCTTTATAATGAAAAAAGCCAAAAATCTATGCCAGAGGAATTAAGTATTCAGACACATATTTTTTATTTTCTCTACTCTAGCATGGTTGTGAAATTATTTAATAAGTTGTCATTTTAGAAAAAAAAAGATTTCAAATGATGAAAGTCTATAAGAGTAGAGCTCCAACCTTGTATGACAAACTGAATGATTTATTTTAGTAAAGTAGAATTTCTTAGCAGTGCTAATAAATATATTGTTGATATTATTATTATTACAACAACTAGGTAAGGTGAATATTAACATCAGCAGTTTCAGATTGATCTGTAACAAGTTTAGAAAACTCTTAGAGTCCTGTAGAATTAAATGATGAAATGAGATGGAAAACCCAGAGCTCTTCCATTCACATTTTTTGGTCTGTATTTTACTGTCTTGAGATGTCAGCTCCTTAAATCCTCTACTTAGAGCTGGAAAGAGACAAAAATCAATCTATTCAGTACTAAATTGTCCTCTTCCCCTAATATGCTTTCTAAAACGTATAAATGTTGCCTATGGAATGACTCATAAACACACATTCTGTTCCCTCTGAGAAATCTCTCAGGAACTACTGCTGCTTACAAAGTTTCTTCCCCTAATTTATGATTTTAACATATTCTACTTATTCTATTTCATGTAATATTGTCTGTCTTGATAGTTCATTCTTTGTTTCTTTTTTTTTTTTGCTCCAGTGAATAAGTTAAGTAATAAATTGTAAACTTATACTACTCAATTCTATGGAATATCTTCTTTTCAAATTATTTATATGCATCTCCACTGGCCCACCACTGTTGAATCTCCTTCATAAAGAAAAATCTGAAGTTGCTGATAAGAAGAAAAGAGAAAAAAATTAAAACAAATTTTGAGATACTGAATTACTTTGGTTGTAAATGTTTGATTTTTATGAGCTCATTAATGCACGTTAATATTCTTCATTGAGATGAAATTGACTACCTATATTTTTATGCTTCTTAACACTGTGAGTTGTTTTACAAACTAGTGATTTTTATTGCCCCATTAGTATTCTAAATTGAGTTTGGGTGGTAGAAATGACACAATTATCTTATTTTTTATTAGATACCTCCTTATAAGAACTTTACACTGTTTTACGCCCTTTCTATTCTTTATCATGTACTAAACTAATCTAAAAGAATCTGTGTGACCATACCAAGTAACCAATGATTCTACTTAGCTAAATCTACACTGAAATAGTTACAATAAAAATATTAAATACAAATTTCTAAGCATCTTAAGCAAACATATTTACATTTTCTGATGTTCTTTGTGACAAGACTAATATATCCAAGCTGCATTATGTGGAGAGAGAAACAGAAAATATAAGTAGAAATACCAACATTCTATTCAACTACTCTAACTTACTCAACTAATTAGAGGCATTGCTACTACTGCTTTAGTAACAATTCCTTAGCTTCACAACATTCATGACTTAATATACTTTTACCCAATTTTCTCTTTAGCCTTTTTTTTAAATTCAAGGATCTTATACAAGATTGCTCAGAAAAAGATGCAGGGGGAGGGGAGGAGAGTTGGGATGAACTGAAAGCATTCATTTTAAAGTATGTTCAGAAAAAAACAACAACAATGGAGATGATAGGGAAAAGAAAACACTACAAGACTGGGTGGAATGTAGAGCAGCAGGAACTCTTGATTAAGAATATGGAAGAGCAGTTCCATTGCTTGTGGAAATGAAAAAAGGCATGACCACTTTGAGAGGTACAGTGGGGAAAACTAGATCATATACACAGTGGAGCCAGGTTCAGGCTTTTATAAGGACCCCTCATGAAAAGGAACCAGAATCCCCTGAAAAACACCTTCTAAGATCTCTCCTGATAATATCCCACTAGGTCCAGCTCTTAAAGGTCCCTCCAACACTCAGATCCGCCACACTAATGACCAAATTCTCCAAACACAAATCTCTTGGAAACATAGCAAGCCCTATTCAAATCATAGCTGTGGAGTCAGGTAAATGTATGTCCAACAATGGTGGCAAATGTTCTGAATTGGTGCTGATGTTAAAACTTCTCTAAAACACAAGTTTATGTTTTTTAAGAGGATAGGGTGGGACCAATATTGTTACATCACCAAGGCTTTAACACTAGAAATGGCAGCTTCTTTTTAATCTAAGAGAAAAGGAACAGAAGTCAAGGGCATCTCTTCACAAACATAGGTAGAAAAATACCCAACTATTCTTTCATTCTTTGCTTCGTAAATGTCTTACTTTATTCTTTTTTTCTTAAACTTTTTCCCCATGTTTTCTCAAACTGTAGATTGCTTCTTAAAGAAGCCCTTCGTTTCAACCTATGTCTAATTATGCATAGATTTCTGTATAACAATTCTTCTCTCATGATCCTTGAGCATAACTTTATACTGCTAGGTTCCCACATTTATTTTCCATTTGTAGTAAAATTCTATAGAATACAAATCCATGGAATTGACTGAATCCTCAAGGACTCATTGCTTGGGCGCCAATCCATATGGAATACTTTATCTCAGACTCCTAAGTAGCTAGGTGTACAGACATGAGTCACTTGTACTTACGTTTCCAACTAAAGTCAAGCATCTACTTGTGTCTATCTAGGTCTTGCAACATACTGTCTACTCAAGGCCATCATTCCAGTAATTTCATTCTTCTTTCTTCTGTAATTTTTATTCCTCAATTATATCATACTGTCACTGTTTTTTTACAGTGTCTAGATACTCTAGCAGCTTAGTCTATATACTAAGTACTCATTAGTCTATATACTAAGTATTAGTCTATATACTAAGTATTCATTAACTAGCAAAGACTTTACTCATAGACAAAGATGAATGAATTGCAATCCACGACAGGTGATTAGGCATTACGGCTAATTATTCAAGTGAAAAATTTTGTAGAGTTAAAAATACCTGGAAATAGCTCTCACTGAGCCCAACAGAGCCATCCAGGTGGGAAGAGATGACCACAGTACTGGTGCACATTTTGAAGCTCTATTTCTCTGTGAAACAGTCATGTTATGTGAAAACTGTGTGCTGTGCTACCTAAATATCGCAATCAGCACAGTGACATGCTCAATTTTAGGTGAGTGAATCTGTGAGACCAGGCACATGGCTTTTGCCTTTGTTGTCCATGATGTGGTAATTTCCCCTGATTATAATATCCAAACTACTGTCTCCTAACTTAAGATAGATTACAATGGCCCTGAAAATGAAATTTGCTTCTTTATTGTCATATTCCACCTCAAAAATTTCCTTATGTAATTGCAAAAATTGTCTATTCTTTCCAAACAAAAACATGGAACATTCTGTATCAAGCCCTGTTAAACCAAGCACAATGATTTAACAGTGTCTTTACTATTGGCAATCAACAAGGAATATGAGACAAATGATGACAAAGGAAAGTATTTTACATGATCTGAATACATAAAAGTGTTCATCCTTTCTTCTTATTTTGTTGTGTTCTAGATGTGCTGATTAGCAATATATATGTTTCAGATTCTATACCTTTGAGTTCAAATGTTCAGTATCTCAAACCATTGCTCTCTTGTCTTGTGACACTCATATTTTCTCTGGGTGAAACTTAGGAGCAGAGGATAAATTCAAACATTTTTGAGTCCTCTGCTGATACTATCTTAATCCTAGAGAGAATTGTCATTTGTCTGGTACCTGGGAGGATTAGTAATCTTAGACTTGTCATAATACTATTTCATTAAAATCCTCAGAGATTTGCATGTCATATTTGCTCAAGGACTGTGCTAATCTTGCCTGTGTTTTTCCAATTTTAGCAAGTGCACTGACAAAGCAAGTGTTTTAATCGTAATACTATTCTAGAAATTGGATTTCACACATTTTAGTGTTATGACAAGTATCACTCTGTTTTATCATTTCTTTCAAACATTTTAACTTGTATTTCCAGAGAAGACAAAATAACAGCGTCTCCACTCTTTGGAAAACTTTCCTTTCTGGAATTTTCTAAATACACAGTTCAGCCTTTAATGGAAAGAAATCTGAAAGCTAGATTTATTTTTCTGGTTGCTTCTAATGCTATGCAAATCTTGACCCTGCCAGTCTCTACTATCTCATTCATTCGTGATGTAATCAGTAAGATATTTTATCTTATTTTTAAAAACTAATGGTTAATGGATTGATATCTGTGTTATACTTTAAGCCTGCTTTCTAGACCATTCTTTTTTTTTCTCTAAAATATAAGGGTCCTTAGATTTCCCTTTATAAGTTGGTGTTTTGTTTTAGTTCACTTAATTTTTTTGATATTGTCTGCCTAGGAATTTCCAATGTAGTTTAGACTGTCCTTGAACTAACAATCCTAATGCTTGTGCCTCCTTAGTGTCTAGTGCTTGGATTTCAGGTGTGTGCCACCATGCCTGGCTCCATTTATCTACTTCTTACAATTAGCTGTTACTTTGTAATCACAACCACTGTCAGGTAGGATTACATAAAGGAAAGATAGTCTAAAACAAATTTAAAAAATTATAACTAAATTATAGGTCACTCATACTTATATGGTAATGCTTTAGGAAGTATGTGTAATGCAAGCCTTGCTGGGCCAATTGTATTTTATGTTGCCAGAGTGCTGTGCCCTAGGCCCAATCCCAGGGGTCATCATAAATCAGGTCTAGCCACTTATTCCAGGAATCAAAGGAAAAGTTGATGATAGAAAGCATGAAAGGAGTTTAATATTCCATGAGATCATATGGAAGACAAGGGAGATCAAGTTTCTTGGGAGATGGGTACTCACATAACCTCCAAGATTATATAGCAAAATATTGTGTGCAATCAAGTAGTCTTGCTCAAACTCTAGTATGATTGATCTTTGTCTCAGTTCTGCTCACACAGTCTTATAGGTACCAAGAAAATTGCTGCTGCTCAAGAGATAAACTCTATTTGATTCCTTGGATTTTTGTTATGAATAAAATGTGATCCTTTTCCATTCTCATGAAATAATCACTCCAACTTTGGAGTGAAGTCTCATTATGGGATGATCTGCCTCCAAGGCTCTACTGGTGCTGGAAGGCATAGAGAAATGACTGAAGGCTTCCTGACATGGTGTCATAAGTTTGAAATAGGATTCTATAAAAGCTAGCATTTTGCAATGTGTTGAAAATCTCTTAGTTATACTTATTTATCCTAGAAGGGGGGGTTAATGACCTTATATGAGCATTTCATAAACGTTTAACATGTCTACGTGCAGAATTGAACAGAAATCTGACCAAAAGACCAAGACAAATGAGATACAAAACAAAAAGAGTGATAAATGACTTTATCCTGCATTGAGGTGCCCTTTTGATATCCAGCAATCCAAGTGACAAGTATGTACTTTTAGCAAAAATAACTTCAGAATTGTTGGTATATTAAAATTTAAAAAATGAACATTAAGGAATTTGGGGAAGAGAATATCATTAAAAGTGTTACTCTGGAAAGCCATGTGGAGGCTCCTGAAAAAATTAAATGTAGAATTGTCCTATGATCTAGCAAGTCTACTTCTGGGCATTTATTGAAAATATTACAAGCTAGGATACAGTGAAGCCATCAACATAAACATGTTTATCACAGCACTATTCACCATAGCTAAAATGAGAATCATCCCAGATGCCAATCAATAGATGAATGGATCAAGAAATTTGTTATATAGGCAGAGTGGAAATTTACTCATCCATTAAATGAATGATATTGTATCATTTATAAAGAAATGGAAATACTTGGAGAAAAATATGTTAAATGAAGTAAGTCAGGCCCCCGAGAGACACAGGATATTATTTTTCCCTTATATGTAGAAGCTAGATTTTTGCTTACAAACTCAAAAAAATATACATTGGGTGGTATGCAAGTGTGTACAAATGTGTTAAATGAAAAAAGGTTGATTTATAGGAGATCTCAAATGGCATAAATCCTTACAAAGGCAAAATCAATGTTCAGTGAAATAAATTACTGGGAAATGGATACTGGAAAGGAGTGAGGTGAAGTCAAAGTGAAAGGGGTAAATAAATGAAGAAGAGAAGAGGGGAAAATGAAGTCATGAATCTAATATATATACTACAAAATTAACAAGAGTGAGAGAGTGGGGAAGGGAATGATGGGTAAGAATATTGAAAGGAGTGCCATTGATCAACATACATTGTATTCATAAGTTGCTTTGTTAAAGGGAAGCTACTTTATACAACTATTTAAAGATAGTAAACATTAAAAATCACTATATTGACAAAAATTCGATAGTGAATATAAATTATTAAAATAGGGTAGCCCAACAAAATATAATTCTCACTTACTTTTCCCAAATTTCAGAAAGCTTGGAGGATTAAGCTCATTTCATTTGACTTTTCAGGAAAGGGTATTCTCTCATTATGTCTATGTCCAAGAATATAATATATAGATTTTTTTTTTTTGCCAGTTCTGGGGCTTGAACTCAGGGCCTACGCTCTGTCCCTGAACCTCTCTGTGCTCTAGGCTAGTGCTCCACCACTTGAGCCACAGTGCCACTTTTGTCTTTTTCTGAGTAGTTTATTGGAGATAATAGTCTCATGGACTTTTTTGCCTGTGCTGGTTTCCAGTCTTCAGATCTCAGCCTCCTGCATAGCTAGGATTGCAGGTGTGAGTCACCAGTGCCTGGCTCAATAATATTATTTATAGATTAATGATGAAAATTTTTATGATTTGGAGAAATTACAATTCATATAAAAACTTAGGAACAACAACTGAATGTTTGAAGTAAAACAAGGAAGCTAGAAAGTTAGGGTTTTCAATGTAAGCACTATTTTGTCACATGAACCTTTCTGGATTATCAAGTGTTTATCAAGGGTTGTTGCTAAGGCCTGGCCACAGCCTGTTAGCCCCATGCCTAATAGCTTAGCTAGTCCTTTTTTTTCAGTCCATCTAGATACTTTGGTTCCATTTGGAAGTGGAAAACAGGCCTGGGAATGCCCACACTGAAATGCTTATTGATGTAAGCAAGATAAAACTCAATAATGAGTTGTGTAATATAAGGATTTGTAATACAAATCAGGAATGTCACAAAAAAAACTGGGTACCAGTGACTCATGCCTGTAATCCTAGCTACTCAGGAAGTTGAGATCTGAGGATTGCAGTTCAAAACTAGCCAGGGCAGAAAATCCATGAGACTCTTATCTCCAATTATCTACCAGAATACTGAAGTGGTGATGTGGCTCAAGTGGTAGAGTGCTCACCTTGAGCTGAAGAGCTGAAGGACAGCGCCCAGGGCCAAAGTTCAAGCCCCATGACTAACCAAAAAAAATAAAAGTCACAAAAGTAATATATATGGTGATCTTCAATTAAGTAATCACTTATTACTCATCAATATAACTATTTTCTGTTGGTGATTCTTGGTCATGTATTCTTCCTTGTGTAATAATCAGATTATAACTGAAATTTAAAATTTAGCACTTACAACTTTGTAATTTAAGTAACTTTAGAAATTTTCTACCCTGATATGTCTCACTTTTCATTGAGTTTAAGAACCTTTTAGAAGGTCTGTTAGGCATAAGATCCTTCCATAGCTCCCTCTTATGGTAATTCTCATTCCTTTTCTCTTGAGTAAATAGACATCCCCTTATAACCTGAACTGAGGCCTATGAACCAAATACCTGAGCTACATGAAGCCACTATACTAAAACTACTTTGAATGCCCCCCACACCAATCACACAGAATTGCTAAGCCATTGTGACTATTAACAAGTATCCAAGGCAACTGATGGTTTCAACACTTTCTGACTCACTTGAGTTTGTGCTTCTGTTATGTTCTTTTCAAATACTTTTCTGTAAGTAATCACATTTATACTAAAGCTATTTTTATATTTTTATCACAGGTGGAAATTTCAATAGCTGAAAAGATATCACAGGCATCTCCTTTCCAGAAGGAAGACACCACACAAGTTATATTGTATATTTGCTTTTAATGTTACAACAGATCTAATACAACTAAATATTGCTATGTACTCATTTTTTTTCATTATGTAGACAAAATTAACCTTGTTAACATGCACTAATTTATAATTATACTATAAACTATCACATAGCCAAGATTATTATATACATGTTCATATCTGTCAGTGTAATTTTTGTCTTTGAGATACATGATTTGTGTCAAAATATTTGTAGATATTTATTAAAATTTATGTTCACAATGTTATTCATACTTCAGGCTATAGACTCTGAGTGATATGTCTTTCAAGAACTATTGTCAAACTATTATATGGTGCTTTTCAGTTAGATACTTAACTTGGATTCATATTAAAGATGAATGATTTGGATATATTTTAAGACATTACTTTGGCATTTAGCAAATTTCTTTCTGTTCCTATGATCCAGTAATACAATAACACAATAAGGGTGTTCATTTTTATTTAAGAATATGGAAAGTTCTCTGTCTGAAAATTTATTTCTTAAAATACTGTGAACTACTTTTTTTGATGAGCGCACGTTTGTGTGTGTGTGTGTGTGTGTGTGTGTGTGTGTGTGTGTGTGTGTGTGTGTGTGTGTGTGTGTGTGTGTGTGTGTGTGCTGGTCCTGGGGATAGAACTCATTGCCTAAGCTTTGTCACTGAGCTTTTATGTTCAGATAGCACTCTATCACTTGAGTCACAGCTCTACTTCCAATTTTGTGATGGGTATTTGGAGATAAGTCTCATGGACTATCCTGCTTGGGCTGGCTTTGAACGGTGATCCTCAGCTTTCAGAATTCTGAATAGCTAAGATTACAGATGTGATGCACCAGCTCCTGGTTATGTGATTATACTGGGACTTCTTTTCCCACTAAATTACCTACAAGGGCAATCACA